CTTCTCCTTCTCCTTCTCCTTCTCCTTCTCCTCCTCCTCCTCCTCCTCCTCCTCCTCCTCCTCCTCCTCCTCCTTCCATCATCATCATCATCATCTATCTTCTTTACTTGTTGATATTCTTAACTGAAGTATCTTACCCTCTCTATTTTGCTTGACATTAGAAAGCATGTGTCTTTCTTCTTAACCAGGGCTTTCATCTTCTAGCTTTCTACGGTTATCATCATAATTTGTTCTAAAAGTCATTTGGATTTTTCCCTCTTCAAAATACAGGGAATATTTCTCATGTCCTTGCTTGCACAATATCTCTTATTACAGCCCATATCTCCTTACCTTGCATAAGGTAAGCATAGTCAATCCATTCCTTACATTGATCTTATATTCCAACTGCATCTTTTTCAAATCGTATCTTGCTGGCACAACTTAAGAGTCTTGAATTTATATGTCAGCATTATTCTGGTGTGTCCATTTCAAAGCTCCACATGATCTCCCCCATTACGTTCATGTAGATGTTAAACAGCACAGAATAGTGATAGCAATAGCACTTAGATTTATATACCGCTTCACAGTGCTTTACAGCCCTAGTGGTTTACAGAGTCAGCATATTGCTCCTAACAGTCTGAGACCACATTTTACCAACCTTGGAAGAATGGAAGGTTGAGTCAACCTTGAGCTGGTCAGAATATACAATAGAACCACAAAGGGGGAGGAGGATAAATAACTATGCAAGGAACAGTTTGGACACAGTCAAAACCAGCAACTTTACTTTGGCAGAAAATTATTTAACTAAAACATTGGAGGGAGAAGGCTACAAATTAAATACTGTCTTACTGCATTCCAAACTTCTACAGCAAAACCTGTGAGAGACAGATCTAAAAAACAATTTATTTATTTAAACTGGCTGGATGCTGCATAATTAGCCTTTTGACTTGAAGGCAAAATTAAACAATTTTCCTATCTTTGTTATGAAAAAAAATCAGAAGCACATATCCTGAAATCTTCTGATTATTTCCCAACATAATATAAGCCTCAGGACAAATGCGATGGCAGAAATTGGATATGAATAGATACATGGCAGAGTCTTGTGAATGAAGATATGTGACAGAGGAAGCAGAATGAGAGAAGAATTATGTCCTGATTTTTACCCAACATTCAGAGGATCTGTAGTTCAACCAGAAGGCATATATTCATGTTTTACAGAGCAGAAGGAAAGACTGTGTATGAAGATTCAAATGCTGGACACTCACAGATGTTCTCGTATAATAATTGAGATAAGGAAGAGAACTAGAAGCCATAATAAAGTACACACAGAAAGTGAGGGAAAGAGACTTGAGAGAGAGGAACATTAAGTAAGTTAAAACTTGATTTTTTATATTCCCTGTACTTTTCTGAACATACTGGTTTTGTAAAGAATACTTTCACAGTATGTTGAACTCTAGCCTTCATTCAGGGCCAATTGTGGTTACAGAGGCTGAGTCTTGCATATTATATGGGAGGAGTTCGAGCCTGCTGAACCTGAGGATAGGGTTCTTGTAGCTGTTAGTCTGGTCATTTCCATTTTGGATCCATGCCCCTCTTGGCTGGCCAAGGCTGCCAGGAAGTGAATACATGTTTGGGTCTGGGTGGAGGTTAATTCCTCTTTGAGTAGGGGTGGCTCCACTGGCACTTAAGGTGGTTTGGTGCACCCCTCCAAGGGCCATCATGTAATCAAGAAAACTTTCGCCCAGTTTCCAACCTTTCCATTTTAGGGACGTTTGTACAGAAAGTGGTTGCACAATAGATTCAAAAGGCCCTGGATGTAGCAGATTATCTACATCTACATCTATTCAGTCATGATTCATTCTCTGGGATTAATTGCATTTTCCCTCCAGAGATTAGGATGGTCCTGACCCTGTTGGCCTTTCATAAGGCTTGAAGACCTGACTAGGTACCTGGCCTGTGGTCCTGAATGTGTGAAGACCTCACTTTCCTGGTTAGGTTGACCCAGATAGATTGGCTGCTATTTGTAGTTATTTTTTTATGATTGTTTGCCCCCCAGAATCATTGGTTTCAGATGGGCAGCTATACAAATTGAATAAATAAATATAATATTAGATTGCACTACTTTATTAGCATAGGTATCACAGTATCCACAATAAAACCCCTTATTTGTTTAAGTAATGGCTCCTGACATAGTCTTCAACACTTCTATGGGATCAAAAAGCCATTTGTCCCATTTCTCTTGCTGAGCTGAGTTATAGCAGAATCTGGAGGGGAAGTAGATCTCGATACTTTTTACCCCAGCACTAAAAAAAAAAAAATCAAGTTCCCTTCCGGGAAAGAAGAAGTGGGAGAAGTTGGTCTTTTGTTGTCAACTCTCCAGTCTCTATAGATTCATGCAACTAGACGCACAGGAGCCCTATTCTCTCCTTGCTCCTGCTAGAAGAAAGAGAAGTGGATGCTTTGGGTGCCAAGTCTCTTTCCAGCAGCTAAATTAATGGAGGCACTCTGGATTTTGTATTGTGAAATAATTTTCCTCGCAATTCTTTCCAGATGGCATTTCCTTACGTTGCTACAAATCATCTCACAATATTTTCAGGCACTCTGGAAGCTTCAGGAGTAAAGAAAGATGGATAATAGCAGTTCTACAAGCTCCATTTTGTTGACAAATGGGCATAGGGAACACCCATATACCCTGTTCTCCACTGTATTAGTATACTGATATTACCCATATTTATCATGTTTTATTATCTGTCAGATATAATAATTTTACCATCAAAATATTTTGAGGCCGACAATTCAGCTTGTTTGCACGTTTTGCTCTAATGTGAAAAAAATGTTAACTGTGCATATATCTCAGAATATAATGAATAGCTTCTAATTACAAACAGCAATATTTTCACTCAATTATTTTGACAAAATTGCATGTTCTAAAAACAAGATATATGATACAATTGCTGGCCTTAAGATTGATCTTTAATTTGTTTTCATGTATTACTCTATAAAAGTAATATTTCATGAAGCCAATAAATGTTATGTAGACTTACTTCTAGCAACGTTACTTACCCTTTGAGGTACAGGGGGGGAAGTGGCAGGGCTAATAGATTCATGGCTCTCCATGACATTTCCGTAGTCTGCCATGCTGCCTTTCAGAGGTAATGGTGGAGGAATGTCCATCATTTCCAAATTATTCATGCCATTTAGTTCAGAATCTGAAAATAAGGATGCATGTAATTCTCAGCAGCTTATTCACATTCACAGCTAATCTATAATATTATGAAATAAAAAGAAACTTTTTTTAGTTTCATAAAGTCCTCCCAACATTTCTTATTTGAAAAATGAAAGAGTAGCAACAAGAAACATCCAATATCATAAAGAAAGAATGTTTTTATCATAATATATAATTGCTAATCAAGTTGCTACCTTTTTTTCCTCAGAACTCAAGTATGTCCTTGATTGTGACAAGTATGAATGCTTTAGACATGCTGGGAGGATGAGCATTATAATTGGTGGGGGCCAGAAACATGTGAAGTTGAAAGGTCCCTTCATACATAAATTCAAGGTTAAATTCAACAGAAATAAGCAGTGTACTTGCTATAATATTTGTTATGGTTGCTTTACCACATCCATAATAACCAGAAATGTCAAGACTCCTGTGGAATGATCACACAGCTGGGAGACTAATCAGTTTTCCTTAAATGATATTTGATACTGCAGAGGTAGCCATTATTAATCTTTGCCCCCTCGCCAACAAAGCATTCTTAATCAAAGTTGAAGTTGCTCCTTCTTTGACAGAGCTGGTTAATATTTGTATTTCATCAGGTGGAAAAATTAGGAGCATCTATACTGCAAATGATCATTCAATAACAAAAATGCATCATCTGAGATGGGAATTTCTAGATTTTCATTTGCAATATTAATTATTGAATCTTGGATGATGTATGAAAAATGGTCTATAAATGCTAACACTACTATGAGGAAACAGTCCACTAAACTATTTCTTACACTTTTTTGCCTATTATTCCTTAGTTACTTGATTATAAATGATTCAGCATTTTAATTTTTTCCCTAGGATAAACACAATTTTAAAGGACAAAATTGAATACACTCTTCCCACAAACAATTTAAAGAATTAAATGTATAACTATATAATTTTCCTAAAATGTTAGAAAATTACTGTAATGTCAAATGAGGTAAATAGCTACAAGTAGACTTCAATTTACAACCAAAATTGACGGGATTCGTTTTGTCAACGATTCACTCAAAACGAGGTAAAATGTTAGAAAGAACGGTGTCAACAATTCACTTAGTGACGTCAATTCAATCATTGTGTTAATAATTCACTTAGCTCGAAGAGGTAACTGTAACGAACAGTCTTCCAACGTTTTTCACTAGTACACTGGGACCCTATGACGTTGGTAGTATTTACTCAGTACTGCCAAGCAGCTAAATTTTGATCATATTACCCTGGGGAAGCTGCAATGATTATAAGTGTGAAAAACAGTCATAAGCCATTTTTTTTACTGCCGTTGTAACTTTGAATGGGCACTAAACAAACTCTTGTGATTTCAGGACTACCTGAATTGCACAGCTACAGATATCAAGAGGAACATGAATAGATTGCAATACCATTTCAGATATATTCTATTTAGGATCTCTTTTAAAATTTCCAGAAGTTTGTTAAAACCTTTAATTCCAAATAAGGCAACATTCTGTTACATACAATATGAAATGTGCAATACAGGTTCTAGTAAACAGGTTCCTAAAAATGTTAAAAATCCAACTTCAAATTATATTTTTCAGTCTGTCTTTTATTGTACCTCACAAGGTACTTAGGGGAAAGAAATGGGGATAGGAAAGAATCACATATCCTGCCATGAACTTCTTGGAAAAGGAATCAGATATATGTAGTTAAAGGGAAAAATGTATTTCACCTGACTTCTATTTCATTTTTATTTTCTACCTCAGAAAAGTAGTAAATAAAACTTCCTGAGTTTGTGTTGGGGACCTACATCATCGAGAAGCAGCACATCAGACTTTAGTTTCATGCACATAAAATACATCCATCTCAAACCTTTTAAAGCTTACTCTTGCAGACAACTGCTTTTCTGCAGTATTAAAAGACAGGAACTGATTGTGAGAAGTAGACAGCCCATTAAAGCCTGCCAAAGAGATGAAATCTCAGTCCTCAGATGAGGAAAGCATGCCTAACTGGTTCCAAAGGTACCTAGAAGTGGATTCCATATCTAATAAGCCAACAATTTATCTCAGCTTGGTCTGTGTTGCCAGGGGATTCTGGAAATTGTAGTCTGCTTTGCAATACTGAATAAGGCAACAGTGACTTTTATTGTTTCAACCAACTTGGAATTAAGTTCCATATACTGTTGGCATACAATCTCCAGTTGACCCAAGGCAATATACACTATCATTTTTCCCCAAATGGGACAATTTTAAAACTAATTTTCTAATCTTCCTGACATGTATTTTATTCTTTAACCTTTTTTCTTTCTTTCTTTCTTTCTTTCTTTCTTTCTTTCTTTCTTTCTTTCTTTCTTTCTTTCTTTCTTTCTTTTTCTTTCTTCCTTCCTTCCTTCCTTTCCATTGCAACTGAAGGAATTTTCACATGCTCAAAATAGTCCTGCAACTGGGCTTATTTTTTGTGTTCATATAGCTCAATAATGAAACTGCCATGACTTAGCTCCTTTGTTCTTGCTTATTAATAAAAGAAGAGAGCCCTTATGGGTACAAGAGAAATCCTAAAATCTTCACATCAGAAAAGGAGCAAAAACACACTATAGGTGAAGTACAATATTCAGATGCCTTTAGATAAAAAAGTATACCAATATTAAGCTATATTCTTTATATCTCATTCAACAGTTTAGAATTATGTTTGTTGGTGCTTCTGTTTATTAAAAAGGAATGATACTGTTTAATATTTCAACAGACTATCAATCTACTTAGTAAATGTTAATTTATTTAAGAAATTGTATATACTAATTACTAAATTTCTAAGAACTTGTTTTACTGCTTTACAGTGGTCAAATTATCTTCCCTAATTTCTGGGAAGAGAAAGGAAATTTGTATTTCTGTACAAGTAAGTTTTAATGATTAAATCCTGGTAACGGCTAGTACTAGGAAAAAGTGGATAAAATCTATTTTACCTATGTATTTCTACTGTAACTTTTGCTACAATCTCCTCCTTTTTTTTCCCCCAGATCCGTACATTCCTCTCTCCTCCTTCGCATCCCCTCCATCTTCTCTACTGAGTTGCCTTCCAGGGAACAGATTGCTCTTGTCAGAAGTAATCACCTATTGAAGATTTCCCGCCTTAATTCACTCTGTTTATTTTTGCTATTCTCACTTTTTTCTTCGTTAAAAATCAAAACTGATCACTTGGAAAGGACTTTTCCCCCTTCCTTCTATTTCTCTATTTAAACTCCTCCCATTTGCATAAAATAAGGTTACCTAAAATCAGGCTCTTAGGCTACAATTTATTTGCCCTTTTTTTAGATACAGTTGGATAGATCAGGAACTTGCAATAGGCTCATTTTCTCACATATTCCTTCTTCCTCCCTAATAAGTATATTTATTGATTTACATTAAGCAAAATATATTTGGGCAGCTAGCCAAAAAACAACCAATCAAAAATATAGACAAAGTACCCTTAAAAATTCTCTAAAGCATACAACCAAACATACATACAGGGCTCCACTAACATCCCCACCAGAGTCCCTGGAACAATAGCCAAATGTTCAGGGCCATCTGAATCTCAGCACAAAGCTATTTTATAGGACAAGCGCCTTGACAAAGTTTTGACAAGCGACATTGCTTCACAAAAGGGAACTGGAGCATACCCACCCTGACAGATATAGTTGAATGAGAAAAAGTTACTGGAGATGGGAGTAACCATGCCATGTAGTTTTAAAGCTCACAACTAGCACTTTGAATTGCCCACAAAAGCTCTTTTAGCTGTAGTATTATGTGGGTGTGGAGGGCATGATGGCTCAGCAGTTAGACACTAAGCTTGTCAGCTGGAAAGCTGACAGCCCAGCTTTGAGACTCAATTGCTCCGCAACAGGGTGAGCTCCCATTAGTTGCTCCAGATCTTGCCCATCTAGCTGTTTGAAAGCATGCAAATGTGAGTAGATAAATAGGTATCATTTCAGTAGGAAGGTAACAATGTTCCATGCGTCTTGGCATACAATCATGCTGACCACATGACCATTGAAATGCTGGCTCCCTCGGCTAAGAAACGGAGATGAACACCGCCCCCTAGAGTCGACATGACTCTAAAGGGGAAACCTTTACCTTTATGTGGGTATATATGGTGCACCCCAACTTCATGCCCTCCTGAATTTTTGAAGGTGGTGAAGGTGAAGTTCCAAATGCATTTCAAGGGTAGCTCTATGTAGAGTGTATTGTAACAAAACAACTGTGAAGTATTTAAAACATGAATGATTGTGAGTGATAACACCCAAACCAGGAATGGATAAATCTGGCACACAAGAGGGATTTATGCAAAATCCCCCTTGGCTACAGCTACCATTTGCTTCCCAGCCATGAGCCTGGGAAAACTCCCAAATTGCATACCAACTCTAAATGGGGAAATATTATCCAGCCATAATTAACAGTAAAGGGTCTGCAGATCTAGGGTACTAAAACTCATACCCCTCAGTCTTGTTAGGATTCAATTGAAGCTTCTTTCCCATCGAGAACTGCACAACCTCCAGGCACTGGGAAAGAACTTGGGCAGAGATATACAATACTGGGCAGAGATATACAATACTGATGATACTTAATCCTATGAAAACAGATGACCACTCCCAGAGGCTAGAACAGTTATATTAGCCCCTGCCTTAAGTCCACTAAAGGGCATCTACAAAAGTTCAGTGCTGTAACCTGGTCTGAAGCTGACTGGAATAAATCTAGATGATATGTTTCATCCATAGCCTTCCACTATGGAGATCAGACTGAAATTATTCAGTACTTTTGAATCCACTTTGAGGAGGAAATGGACCACCACCTCCTTTAAGGAAAGCAGAGCATGTCCTTTTGTAAAGAGAGATTTGCTACTGCTTGGATTCTGCTACATATCAGCTTCCAGCAGGCCTTAACTAACCAACCAGGAGAAACCTGGATCTAAAATGCAAGTGATAAAACATCATGCCAATCATATTCCAGTTCACATGCTCAAGATTAACTGGCTCAAACTCTCTACAGAATAGGATTTTTACCATCAGAGTCCAACTCCAAGTGATTCTAAGCAACTAAACTTGACAGTGTGTAGAATGATTCTCATAAGGATCCTGCAAGGATTCCAGTGCTCCTTTCCTATCCAAAACCTGGTCACAGCTGGTTATCCATGGATGGAATAAGCACAGAGAAATAATTAGGTTTCATTGCCCTCATAGTCACAAGCTAACCATTGATAAAGGCTCTATGTTCAGTTGGATTTCTTATTTGTCTTCCTCCAGAGGTGTCTTTTTTAATCTGTCTGAAGACAAAAAGCAAATAAAAATAGCATTTATGCTGACTCAAAGACATCAGATGTAATGCTGAAATGCAAATCACATTAATAACAAAACCCATATCAGATATACACCTAAATATGTTATTATGTATGCATGAATCAATTATTTCTTTCCCATCCAAAGTCAATATGAGTGTGCCCTTGATGGACATATTCTATACATTTGTTTATTAAAACAATACATCTAGACATAATTTTTTTTAAACTTACTGGGCTGTAAGCTGAAAGAAAGCTTGGTTCTTGGAGTGATTGGTGGAGGAATACTTGGAGTGATTGGTGGAGGCAACGGGGAAACAGATAACCGTTTTTCACTTCCCATAACATTAATAACTTGGCTCTTTGGTCTTTGTGGTCTCAATGGGCTGATCTGATTGGGGAAAAAAGAGAATGTTAGACCAATTTGATGTATATTTTACACTAACTATATTTTACACTACAACATACTGCTGAACTATAGTTCTTAGCATCACTTACTACTGGTCATGATGGCTGATAGAATTGTAATTCAGCAATATCTAGTAGGCCAAATTATCTACTACATTTGCCATGAAATACAATAAAAACTAATTTGATCTTACAGCATAGCTGTTGGATATAAGAGAGAAAACATGAATTTATGAGCTGTCGACTTTGTGATGAGTGTGTTCCAATGTATACATCATAATGTCATAATGATAGAAAAATGTTTTTGTCTGAAGGCAGAATTACTCCGTTGAATTAATAAAATAGCATTAATAAAAGGACCTTGGTGTGTCCTTTACCAAAGATACTATGATAGATTTTCCCTAGTTTTTTGGATAATAAAATGTTCTATACAACTAACAGATTAAAAGATAAATAAATATGAAAATATTTCTATAATGATTCTAATCTTTATGCTACAATCATCAACATCTTAATGTTGAGTTTTCTCATTCAGACTACTAAACCACATAATGTTGACTAGTATTTTTAGTTACTGATGGGACCTAATACAGATTGTACTGAATTATCAATATTAGGGAAACTATAGAGCTTTTAATAAGAGTTAGATAGTGACTCATATACAATGGAAATGGACTTATAATTTGTAATGTTTCTTAAAATGAAATAGTGATACAGATCTTTTTTTCTGTTACTGAAAGTCAAGATACATTGAACTGGGAGGACTCAGAAATCAGTGTTATCACTTCCAGGAAGTTATTTATCCCCCTTGCCTCCAAACCCCATTTCAGAACATTGTATTGTACATCCACTGTCCCTAAACCTCTATGCTTATGCAGGCTTTTGTGATTATTTTTCAACAAAATACAGAAAGCTACTAGGTATATAGATGTGTTTTTATACCATAAGTTATATAATTAAAACTCCAATCTTTTTTTACAGCAAAAAGATGCAATCCATCACAGTGGTAGTTAAATACATTTATTTACTTGCACCCTTCTCAAAAACTTTAGCAGTATCTGGATTAAAAATCAAAAGTTGCCTCAGTATATTGTAAAATTGCAGCCCTATCCAGTTAATACAGAATTGTCATGATCTAGTATTCAGATGACTCTGAATCTGAAGAAGCTGTTTCAGCTGAACTAAGGAATGTCAACCTCAGGAGATATCAAGCTAGGAATCACTTGAGGCTGATCAAACACAGGCATCATCAGAACAGTTGAAACAGTCAGATGATGACTTAAATATGCACAATACATGAAGAATGCATAGTATAAAATGGCTACTATAAACAGGGAACTGTTTCTCTTGACTTTGAAATACATGGGTTTGACACTGCTATCTTTTATTTGATGAAGATCAAGCTAGGGAACATCATTTGTTTTCAACAAAACTAATCAAAAGAGACAGATTTTATGAAGTTTTTAAGATCTGGAATACCAGAATTATTTTCAATTTCCCAGTTAAATTATAATATGTATTTTGTGGGTGGGTGTTTATGTTTGGGCTTTTTGAAATGCACATTCGTGGCCTTTTTTAAATATCCGATCATTAGTTTCATTCATAGCTCATATTAAACCATAGTTTGTTTAATAAAATATTACAATTTCTCCGCGAGGAGAAGGGCGGGGTATAAATCCAAATATAAATAAATAAAATAAATAAATACATGTGCACAATTATTGGATTCATATAATATGTTAAACTCTGAACAAGTAAGCTACATATTGTGCAATATGGGAACTCAACCTATATTTGACAAGAGATATTAACCTTGTCAAATAGTTTTAGCTTCTGTGAACAGTACCTGTACTGGGATTTCTAAAGAGTTATTATGTTCATTGTAAATTGTGAGTATTAGCCTTAAGAGCTTGCAAGAGTGCTGAATCTGTTGTAACTCTACAATGCAACAGCAAAAATAGCAAGATGCTATCATGTTAGCCCTGTAAAAAATGACTAGATTACCCATTTGTTTCTGAGCGCAGTCCAAAGCCTTGGGAGTTACATTTAAAGTCTTAAAAATTTAGGTTCAAGATACTTTACAGAATGCTTATATCCCTATCATTCTACATGTGCCCTAGGTTTTGATTGTGTAGCTATCCTCTGTATCAATACCTGAGGCTACCATAGTCAGTAGGAAAATGGGAAAGGGAGATTGGACCAGCAGCCTCCTTAATAGCCTTTGGCAGTTCTTTTGTTAAAAAATTCAGGCCTTTTAAAGTAAGAAATATATAGTATGTATAATTTTAATAATTATTTTACCTGTTATTTTTTTTTTTTTATTTATTTATTTATTTTCCAATATAAAATTTTATTGTTTTTACGCCTGTTTTGCGTAAAAGCTGGTTTGACAGCCAGCACCAGCTGTCAAACGGCTTGATACCTTTCCCCTGGGCATTTTACCTGTTATTTTGACTATGCTTTGACTGTGATTTTTTTCTTTTAACTGCTTTATTAATTTTATTGAATGTAACCATTTTTAACTATTGTGAATAAGTCAGCACTATTTAATTGGATAATAATAGTAATTTATTAAACTTGTATGCTGCCCAACTCTCAATGACTCTGAGAGCCTCACAGCGAAGGAACTTGTGTGTGTGTGTGTGTGTGTGTGTGTGTGTGCTTGTGTATATGTGTTGGGTGGAACACCCGGTCTATCAAATGTAAAGCAATCTGTTCTGTGTTTCACTCCAGTCTAGGAGCATCTTTTGCAGGCAGATGTCACTACTGTGAACACTGTAAATTCAGCCACAAAATTTTGAATTTACAGTGTTCACAGTGGTGACGTCTGCCTGCAAAAGATGCTCTTAGACTGGAGTGAAACGCAGAACAGATTGCTTTACATTTGATAGACCGGGTGTTCCACCCAGCACATAGTTATATATCCTCCCTGGCCTCTACTGACAAGAGTGAGGAGGAACCTGTGGCCTAAAGGTTAATACAGCTGCCTAACATGCAAGCTGCCCAGGTTCGAATCCCAGAAGGGTGAGACTAACTGATAGGGTGCATCAAAAAACACTCAAGATAAATCTCCTCCCCTGGTCTCTTCTCTTCCTGATACAGCTGACAAAGTGAGAAAGAGCCTGTGGCTTAGGGTCAACACAGCTGCCTAACATGCAAGCAGCCCAGGCTCGAATCTCAGAAGGGTATGGCTGGCTGATGAGAGCTAATCAGCTCGAAATAGCTATCCTAGTCCCCCTTAATTCTTTGTTAGCAATCCAAAAATTTAGGAGAAATATATATATATACATATATATAAATAGAATGTGTGCTTATGCATATAAATATTCAGAAGGAATGAGATTTTCAGGGACAAACTAATGAAACTATTCTGGAATTGTGCTAAACCAGAAATAAGTACAGTTTTCTCTATAAAGTCACTATATAACAATATTTCTAAATTTAACAAAGAAGTCCAGGCAATAGGTGAATCAGTTACAATATAGTTTCTGTAACATTGTGGGAAATAACTCTCTATTGAAAAATACATCATCACTATGATATAAGTGTGAATGCAACAACTACATAAGGGTAATGAATAATTTTCACATATCTGTAGCTTGAAAAGAAAGGTGAGGGTAAACTGAATGATGCCTACAATTTGTCATGTTTATGAGGTTATACAAATATAACTATCAATGTCTACAATATTTCATAAAAATTATATTATTCATACACTCACAATAATTTCTTTGCATTGATTTTAAAATAAGGCAATGAAGAGGGACAAATGAAATTATAGACAAGAAGCTATTAGCAAAAAGAATACCACGAAGAACGAAGAATGAAAACCAAATTTGTTAGCAAAGATGTGATCAAAAAGCTTAGAATAACTTACACACACCTCCACACACTTGAATTATACACTATTTTATCTCCACAGCAATTTTTGATTGAAAAATTATGAGGTGTCAATAATGAGCTATTTGAATTGAATGGCTAAATGGGAAATTCATTTTTTATCTCTCTAGTTCAGAACTGACTAGTTCAGTACTATCATACTACCTCCAGATATGTAAACCCACACCAGCTGTAAATGTAATACAGCTGTTTTCAAATTTAAGCATATAGAGATAAAGTAACAAACATTTGTTTTATTTATTTGTTTTACGGTTGTTGTATGCTGCCCACAATTGCTTATGATGGATGGCCATATAAATCTTTTAATAAATAAAGCCTTTCATACTAATTAGCATGAACAGAGAACACTGTTCTAGACTAGCTAAGACCTAACAAATTGCTGTTATATAATGAAAATCTGAATTTAAGAACTGTTGTCAAGAAAAACTCATATCCATGTCCATGCAGTCATTTGAAGTTGAGCTCTAATCAAGGGACTCCACTAAAACTCTAATAAAAACTAAGGACTATAATCGATACTAGGTGAACAGGTTTCTGATAGCACAGCAAGACTTCTTTCACTTTCATCTTTCCCTCTAGTGCTGTGTGCATAAACTACAAACTGGCTTTGGAAGATTTCTTGTCTCTTCAAACCAGATTTAAGAAAGAGGAAGGAGGAATCCTTTCCCTAGCCAAATGACATCCATCAGTAGAATGGTCTCAAAGCACCAGAGTAATGATGCTTTTCCTTACATGGAATAGCTGTCTCTCTACAGGGAGGAAAAATTATACCCTAATAGCTTTGCAATATATTTTAGCCAAAGACTGAAAGCTCTAAGAAGGAAAGAGTCTGTACTTCTACATTCTCAAAGTATCCTACACTTTATTAATGGCATTATTTTGGTTGATATGTTTATGTTATTAAGAATAATATAATACAACATTTTACTTATTTTTTTAACTAAAGTTTAGACTCCCTATTTCTGCAGCACACTACTGGTCTTTATGTAGTATACGAAGGATGCCTTAGAATGGATGCTAGTAATCCATCCATTATAGTTTTCCAAAAAATTAGAATTGCCATGAAAAAACATGAGATTTTCCTAGTACAGAACATATGACAATCTCCCTAAAGAATATATGTTTATAATTACATTAATCTAGAGGCAACTTTGTATTTAAAACATGGAGAGTATATGGTGTATTATACCACCTTCCATTTGCCTACGTGTATGTATTGTATGCATGATATAGCATATCTTTTATTATGTCTGTCTGTCTGGATGTCTGTCTATCTATCTCTATCCAACTAAAAAAAAATAAACAGTACAATATTTAAATTTAAAGGAAACTATTTGGAAACAATAAGGCATTTTGTAAAAATAACTCTAAATACAATGATTATGGGGGGCTTCTTGATATTTATGATTTTTTCTACTCTTTCAGTACAAAAGAATTCTATGCAGAGCACAGGTAACACTAATAAAATAGTTGGGGAAACATAGCAATGGGACCCTCTACCTCACTGTCATCCACTCTAGATTTGACAAGGCCTCAGCAACTGACCTGAGAGCATAAATTAGAAAGATACAGTAAAGGCTCCAAGGTCTCTTCCAACTCTTGTTATTCTGTTATACCGTCCTTTAATATTCAGTACTCACTAATCCCAAATCTCATGATAAATTGTAAGCCCAGATTAATGTAAAATATATCTGCTGTGCTACAAAGAAGCATAGCAGCTATCCAGATCGGTGTTTTTAAAGATTCTGTGTTGCTTTCTCTGAATAGTAGACAAACTGTACAATTAATAAAATGATTGTTTACAATAGTTAGATGTAACAGTAATTACTTTTTTATTCTCTTATAACCCTATATGCAGTGGTGGGATTCAGCCAGTTCGCACCAGTTTGTCTGAACCGGTAGCAGCTTCCACACAGAGAACCAGTTGTTCACATATTTGAATCCCACTACTGCCTATATGAATAGATATAATTGCAGATTCTTTTGACTGTGCTTAGCATACCTCCTTTAAAGATTGAATATAATTTACAATCATTATAAAGTTTGGTAAACTGGAAAAACTTATTGGATACTGATTAATCTCCAGTCCCTCAACTCTCTTTAATATGGCACCAGTATAGGATTAAAAATACATATGGGTATAAAGTTGCATAATTTTTCCAAATGTCAGCACATGGAGTGCGCTATCTGATCACTTGGCTAAATAATCTAGAGAAGAGGCTTCTTCAAGTGAGTATACTAATTATTCACATTCTGCTTCCACTCTATGTTATATTCACAAGGATTCATAAGTTTTGAGATATTTAAATCAGTCCTACATGATATAAACTCCTTAGAGATGCCAGACCCTAAGAGTATAACCCCCCCACCAGCATTTTGACAGTTTATTGGATTCTGCTATGCAGAAGTTATTTTTTTAAAATAAAGTATGAGTAAATTATAATTACAGTTTCTGAAAGTATCACTGCTTCAGACTGCTGCAGAGAAATATCAGTTGATTTCAATTCTTTCTCAAATATTTCTTGGTGCTTGCTGTTTCTCTTTTCTTTCTTCTTTTCTTTCTTATCTTTATCTGAGTCATCTTTATCCAACTTATCTTGTGATCGAGAATGCATCTTTTTTGGCAGAAGGGGCTCAAGCACAAACCTAAACAATATTAATTTTTCTTAATGCGCAGTAAGTACAACGAAGCACATCTCTTTCAGCATATTCATTCTACTTCAATCAAACAAGGAAATGTGCAAAAACATGTTTATTTACAGATACATACTATATGCAAACATACATTTATAGATTTTAATTCTCTAGGATTATTTTTCAAAACAGTTTATAATACAGTGTTGCATTTTCTGAATCAAAGAACACTGGAAGGTCTTAGTAAAAATGCAGCTATGACATCAATCATCGTTATACGTGTTCACTATGGCTACTTTTTCTTAAAGAATATAATCAGATGGTAATAACACCTATATGGAAGTGCAGTTGCTAGTTGCTAGTATCACTGGACATACTCATATTGACTGTTTTTTAAGGAAATCAACCATACTGTAGTAATTGTGGGAACATTCTTGCTCCAGATTAAGGCACAACAGAACTTTTCTGCCAAAAATTATTTCTCTGCTATAATATTTGCACTAAAATGCAAATAGGCATGTTTGCTTCCATCCAAGAATAATCAGTTTGAACATACTTTTGCAAATGCACAAGTATCCTAACTGGTTCCATCTTTTTTATTCTCTGTGCTTTTATATGCCAAGATAAAGAACATATCAAAAGCTATTTATAGGCTAAATGCCTATTTTTGTTACTGTATATAAACAACGGCAAGTTAGTGATAAAGTTTCTGGATCAAAATCTTGGCATTCCACAAATATGCAGGCAATTACTCCCACTTCCTCCATGCAATGGGATAGGGATCATGGTGTGTGCAACATCAAACAGAAATAGTAATAAAACAAAACAAACAAAACCAGTAGAGAATTTGGTGAATTTTAAATATTTTAAATATTTTAATTTTAAATATTAATATTTAATATTTTGGATAAAGAGGCTGATAAGAATCTTCAAGCTAAATATTTTTTCACTGCCTGATTTTCAATTTGCCCGTAAATTTTATGAAATAAAAAGCAAATAGTTCCAGAATGAACTAGGAAAATACATATCATGATAGCCTCTTATTGCTTAGATTTGATTTTCAAAAAGACAAAGAAAAGGGTATAGAGCAGAGCTATAACACATATTATGTTGCATTTACCCATCTGAGCCAGGTCTAGAAGGAGCACTGTCAGAAGAGATTGAAGAAATTGAAGCAACAGATAGTGGCCTTGAGGAGGATGGCATTGTGAATGATCGAACCATAGACCTTGGCCGACTGCCTTGTCTGTCATCTACTGATGAGGGCTACAAAACAAAATAGAAATAAAAATAAGATATAATTTCTTCTGTTACAAAGACATAATAAAAAATGAAAATGAAAAGTATGGTGACTTCATCAGTCCATTATTAAGAGCACCATCACTGGGGTTCCTAAGATCTCACTTATAAGGCTCTAGGCCCATGGTGGCGAACCTATGGCATGCGTGCCACAGGTGGCATGCAGAGCCCTCTCTGTGGGCATGCGCGCCGTCGCCCCAGTCCTAGGCATTCAGTTGGGTTTTATAAAACCTTTTCGCTTTAAGCCTCCGCCGCCGTGTGCAAAAAAAAAAAGGTTCAATCAATCAATTTCAACTTCTCGCAGGAAAAAAAGATCTTGCAAAGTTGGAATTGATTGATTGAACTTTTTAGACCCACCCAGTCTGCCATTACCACCGCAACCACGCCCACCCAATGGGCCACGCCCACCCAATGGGCCACGCCCACCCAGCACCCGACAATACATAAGTGGGTTTTGGGTTGCAGTTTGGGCACTCGGTCTCTAAAAGGTTCGCCATCACTGCTCTAGGCCGTCCATGATAGCCTTTCTTCAAAAAGGGTATTTCGAATAACAGTCATTATAATTATAATTACACTCAAATTTGACAGACATCTGGTGTGTGCCTGTAGAGTATAGAGCTAACCATGAAGAAGGAATGCAATAATGGTTAAGTATACAATAATTTAGCCCTGAAAAGAAAGAGGGAATGACAAAGAAGTTCAATGCCATGACTATCTCTAATATAAGTGGAGGTCAAGGAAAACTCAATCAGATGTTCAAGATTCTTTAAATATACTTTAAACCTCCTTTCCCCCCCCCAAAAAAAAAGTTCTAGTAATCTGTGTGGTATCTGTTTCCTGACTTGGCCTACTTAACAGCAAGATAGAATTCCTATTAACTATTCCACCTTCTCATTTTCCCGTCCTATTTGGTTTTACCATGGAGTAGGCTGGTGACACAGATTAAGGAGGTACATTCCCTCCTTTGCAAACCCACCCCCTCTCCCTAGCCGGATTGTTAGCAAATCACCAGCTCCAGCCAGGATTATATATAGGATAATAAATATTTGATCAATAGCTGACTTTATATGAAGAGCAGCACGTTTAGCCACCTTTGTTACTTTGACTTTCTTGGTTGGACTGTAACCTCAAAGACAACAACCAGCAGCCTGCCCTAATTCCCCAGCAATAACCAAGTTGTTGACTCTCATCATATTTCCCCATGATGATTTTTACTTCAGTGTTTATTTTCAGGCTTCTTTCCGTTCCTTGCAAACACATCCCTTATCATCAGATATAATTACAAACCTTACCTCACTTGGTACCTACATTATAGAAAACAAGACAGAGTAGAAATGAGCTGAGTCTGAAAGTTGCCTCTCTGGTGGCAACCTCACTGCTCCTGCTCAGCTCTTATTTTACCTGGTTTCCCCGAAAATAACACATGGTCTTATATATTTTTTGCCTCCAAAAGAAGCACCAGGTCTTATTTTCGAGGGATGTCTTATCTGCTTACCTTAGAACCGCCGCAGCCAAACCTCCCATGCCCGGACATCTGCCTCACCTCGTCGGCCCTCTTCTTCTGCGGCCACTCTTCACCACTCCTGCATGTCGCTCCCCGGCCTCCGTTTCGCCATGAGAGGCCTTTCTATCACTTCACTTTCAAGCCAAAAAGTGTTTAAAAATAGCATATTTAAAGAGCTACTCACAAGACTTCTGATTCCATATTGTTTTTCAACTTTTTCTTTCAGTTGTTTAAAACAGGCTTCCATCCTCTCATGAAATGGCCTTAGTGCTTCTGTGACTTTATTCCCATGAATTCGGATACCTTCTGTCAGGAAAGGGATCTGAAATGGGAAATTATATTTTATTTCATTTTCTGATCTTCTTTCAAATGAAATACGAACACAATGAGAATTTCACCTCAGCTGTATACATAAGAGTTGCCAGCATAAAAATACTTGTAAGAATGGTGCTAATCTATGCAAAATATCACTGTTCATTATAAGGAAACAAAGATTATACAAAAGTTACTGTTACTGTTATTCCACAAAACTCATATTTGCATCATATTTATGTCCTGTGCAGTTTTTCTATTATCCATATTTTTATGTATATAATTTCATAAATACGTATTTATATGTTTTTAAGAAAACAAGGCATATACTTAGATAATGAATGATGAGTCGTGTTACATTATGACAGTCCGAACCGAAATATTTCAAGAAATGAAAATATTAGAATGAAAATATTAGAAAGCACATGCTTTTGGCTAAAGAGGACTAATTATGACCACTAAAATATTTTATATGAATTTGTATACATCTTCGTGTGCTTAAGTGTTTATAAATCTATTTGCTCATTGCTAAACATGCATATCTAAACAATGGTTTTAAAGATTTTAAAAACAGAAAAATTAATTCTATTTTATGACTGAAAGTAACTATGTGGGAGGCTGCTGTCATAAAATATCCACGTTAAGATAATTATCTCACAATATGGAGAGAGGGCTGACCTTTAAAGTATTTTCAGAAAAACACTTTATTCCCTAAGCTACAAACCTTCCTGTTTGTTGTTTCCTCCCTCCCTCTCTCTGCCTCCCTCTTTCAAACTTAATGGGGTGGTAATAAAATGAGATACATGTTTTCAGTGTTTAGTATTCTTCATAGTAATCAGGCTAAGAGGCTCTTTCTTAATCATTCATAATTAAACCCTAATACTGATTAAAACAATTTTTCCTACCATCCCTATATATTCACCTAAATTAGCAGATTTTATTATTAAGGAAGAGAAAAAAACAAGCAAACTGCACTTAATGTATTCAAGAAATCTTGCCAGAATGTAATCTGGAATCTGATTTGAAGTAGAATGCAATTGCCGATTCGCTTGACTTCTAACGAAAAAGACTTAAGAAGTATAATATTTACATTTACAGTATCTGGTATCATAATTTTTTTTAAAGTCACTTTTCTGCTGCTTCAATTAGAACTACTTCCTTATAATCAAACATTAATTATAACCTATTTCGATATGCTATGGAACTTAAATATAAAGTACCACAATTATAATTACTCTTCTATTTGTTCCTTCTCCCATTTTATTAGGTAGTTAGGGGATAAAAAGAAGACTTCTCCCTTGGTTTATCACATAAAATGTTTTATTTTTCAGTAAATGAATAACAAGGAAAAAACAAGCAGAAAAAAAGTCTTCAAAAATATGTCTGCTGATGGTTTTATCTATTGTAGTAAAATATGATAGAAGTAATCCTGTATATTAAAAAGAAAATACTGTTAAAAGTGATCAATGGATCACTCATAAACTACTCCATAGCTTCTTGGTTATGCCACTCCCCAAATCGCCATATATTCTAATTATGATCCCAAGGTGCTCAGAGCCAAAGAACCAACTTACTAGACTCAATAACACCATTCTTGTTTGGTAAGGTCCAGGAGAAAATATCAGACACTTCTTTCCTTATTTTATAATTAATCTATGTTCTCTTACTACCATTTGGACCTATTGAATCCCTTTGTAACTTTCTAATCCTTAGTCAAAGCTTTGCTTTTTTTTCATTATGGTGGTATGTTTGGGATCCCCTTTTTTCTCTACAAGCCTTAAAAAAACATAACCCTCAAATCCATTTACTCCTGGAGCAACACAATGGATTGGCTGTTTGCAAAACTGTACAAAATATGTTCTATATGGGCCTTGCTACATTCTGAGGGGAAAAAATGAGACAGTTTTAACCAAGAGAGACTCCTTTTCACAAAATACACTAGTGAAGTTACTGTCAGTGGTGTGCTTCTTGATGCATAAATGCAGTTTCTTGCTATGGACCTTTACCCTGGGAAGGAGATAGTCAATATATTACCATCTTTTCTACTCCTTTTCCGATAAGCCTTTTCCATTCTTGTAATTTATAGCAATTTATAGCATTTTATAGCATCAGCCAGCCTTGCTATTATGATATAAAGCTTGTCTTCATTATTGATGTATTGCCACAGCAATGGCTGGATGGCTATAAAAAGCCATAAATCATTGGGCGGAATGGTCACTGGGCGTGGCAAATGACTCACTGCATACAGTGGTAAAAATGATAATTAGAATTCCACTACTTTCAAAAAACTGGATGGAAATGGTTGGAAGGAATACTGCATGCAGTGATGGGATTCAAATATATGAACAACCGGTTCTCTGTGTGGATGCTGCTTCCGGAAGTCCATTCTAGGCCTGGGCAACAAAAAATTAGCTACCGATTCTGCCAAAGTGGTGCGAACCGGCTGAATCCCACCACTGACTGCATAGTACTATCTTGGGAAGGAATATCCATTTCCTCATAGCTCTATCAGCAACTATAACAGAATTTATGATATTGGAATGGTGCTTTTGAATCCTATTTGGAATTGTGTTTTTAAGTTAAAAAATAATTTTTTAATTTAAAAACATAATTCAAAATAGGATACAAAAATAGGATACAAAAGCAGCCTTCCAATATCATAAATACATATACTTAACTATGAATAGTTTTTTCTCTAAGAATCACTCCAAATAGTTCTGAAGAACCAAAAGGATGTGTCAAATGCTACAAACTTTCAGTCACCTTTATAAATTGAAACTAGCTCATAGAGAATATTTCTTCTACTGAGCTATTTACATAATATATAATAATATTTACATGCATAATACTTTATACTGACTTCCTGCCCTTTTCTGCAACATATTTTGAATGTTATGTTGGTTTTCTAGAGTATTAGGTATCCTACTCAATTATGTATAATCTGCAAATATCATAAGCAATCTTGCTACCTTTTCATTTTGGTAACTAATGAAAATATGAAAGAGTAGTTGCTCCTGAATCATTAATTAATAACAGCTCTTAATTACATCTAGACTGTAGCGTCAGCATGTCAAAAACACTGTATATCCTTAATAGATTATCCATAATCTATTAAGGCTATTACTCAGTCAAATTGTGAGAAAAGACTGGTCTGTAACGATTAGTTATAAATCCATGGTAATGTCTAGAAATTATTGCATTCTTTTTGATGCACTTATGGATAGACCTCTTCATGATTTGCTCTAGAATCTTCCTAGGGATAAATGTCAGACTGATCACAAAGATTGCTGGATTTTCTTTCTCCACTTTTGGAAGACAGAAACATTTGCCAATAATCTGGAATTTCAGTATTCTAGGAATTTTTCAAATGTAATATATTGAGGTACAGCCAGATCAACTGTTAGTTCCTTTGGGTCCCTAGGATGCCATTCATCTGGTCTTGGAGAGTTAACACATTCAAAGAAAAGAGGTATTCTATGGTCATGTTTATATCAATCTTAAGTTTTGCCTACTATGTTGTAATTTCTTGGTGGAACACACAGTCTGTTTTTGAAGTATTCTAGGAGGATTAGCTCTTTTTTTGTTACCTATTAACACTTTGCCTTGAGCAACTGGTATTCACCTTTCTTGTTTTCATTTGCTTTCATACAACTGGAAAAGGCCTTTTCAGTTATTTTTAGCATCCTTCGCTAACTTCAGCTCAGTCTGTATTTTAAATTTACTGATACCAGCTAATTTGTGGTCACCTGTTTGTACTCTTCCTTTGTGATCTGACCCTTCTTTTCTGCCTGTGTCCTTTTTTGTTTGCAGGTCTTCACTAAGATTTTTTTGTGTTGGATTCTTTTGCTGTCTTTAATTTTTTTTCCTCAGTGGAATTTTTTGCCATTTTAGTTTCTTCCTCGGTTATGAACTCCCCACTTTCTTGAGTTCCTTCCCCCTTTACTCCTTCTTGGGTCCTACTAATCATTGTTTTGAACTTATGAAAACTCACTTTTATGAAATCCACAATATATCTTTGACTATATTATTTTAAGGGCATGATGGCTCAGTGATTAAAGATACTGAGCTTGTCAGCTAGAAAAGCTGACAGCCTGGGTTCGAGTTGTGAGCACTGTGCAATGGGATGAGCTCCTGTTACTGGTCCCAGTTCCTGCCCACCTAGCAGTTCAAAATCATGCAAATGCAAGTAGATAAACAGGTACCACTTTGGTGGAAAGGTAACAACATTCCATGCGCCTTTGGCATATAGTCATGCTGACCACATGACCATGGAAAATGTCTTCAGACAATGCTGGCTCCCTTGGCTAAGAAATGGGGATAATCACCACCCCCTTGAGTCAGACCTGACTGGACAGAAAAAAACCTTTACCTTTATGTTATTTTAGTTTCCCTTAAAATTAAGACTCCAGCATTACATGATCACTTTCTTCCAATTTCCTTGCTACCTGTAATTCCTCAGCTAAGTCATCCATATTGATTAGTATCATGTCAAAAAATACCTGATCTTCTTGTGTCTTCCTCCACACTCTGAAGGAGAAAATTGTCAGTATGAAGAATTTTCTGGAAGTACTATGCCTGGCACAGCTTGTCTCCTGATAGCTATCAGGAAATCCTGACCAGTAGGTTTGTGTTAAGAGTTTCATTATTATGGGATGGGATACATACGTATTCAAGTGTTAAACAAATTAACTTTTGATAAAAATAATAAAATTTTAGCTTAACAACCTTTAAAATAAAAAGGCAAATCCAAATGCAACTATAATTATGATTTTATTCACTTAAAAATGGAAAATTACATGTTAAAGACAAAAATGTAGAGAGTTTGTTTAATTGGATGGTGTTTGCATTCTCTAAATATTTATATAGTTGTCCATAATTTTAAAAACACTGGATTGGAAGGATGGAAAAGAATAATGCCTAAACCTTTAGGGTCTATAGTTTAATCTCATTCCTAGAGTTTCAAAGTCTATGGCGATAGAATTGTAATTCATTGCAGTATCCTTTTCCTTACATGTATCAACAACAGAGAATAATCATCAATGGGCTTTTTAAATATTGGAAATTATTCTGACATAACTTTGCAGATAGGATACTTCACCAGCACAGTTGCCATAGGATTGTTTTAATTCATTATACCAGTAGTAATGAGTTGCCAAATTTCATAACTCTTCTATTTGTCTTTAAAGAGCATTGTTGATTATTGATTATTAATTTTCACCTATTCTGCTGGATCTTCTCCTGAAAAGGTGGAATCTCTTATGTTTGCAATGATCTGAAAATAATTTCTGAGTTCCAGTGGCGCAAAATATCTTCTGTATTTTTGCTTTTAGTCATTAAACACATCTATAGCTTTTGTTCCTCCGTTTCTGTGTCTTCATAATGGAGGATCACCTCCACTGTCTGTGAGCCTTTTATCTTTGAACAGATAAGCTCCTGTGCTTTCTCATCAACTGAGGTTTGGCCTTGCTAGTTCAATCCTTTGACTTTTACTGCTATGAGCTTACAATTGCTGCAAATATACCTAGTTGATTTCAGACAGGAACATGTCATAAGCCCTGTAGATATTAACTCCCTATTCTTGTACTTTTATCTTTTTTCTAATCATTGATGAAAATTTTAATTTTAGCAGCAATTCAATACATAATGATTAAGGTATGAGCAGAGCTGAGTAAACTCACATAAACAATAAACTTACATCCTCATTTTAAATTCCTTGAATAAGAAATAAATAAACAAAAAAATAGGTACAATGAAACCTCAATTTAGTGGACCTCAATATAATGGACTTTTTATGCAATGGAGCAAATTTCTGTGGCAATTTACATCATTTGCATAATGAAATTTGCATCATCTGCACATCACATAAATCACTATAATGACATATGTTTATATTTAATAGATATTTTTGAATAAAAGATATCCCTCTAATGAATTAATCATTAGAAGGTTTCATTTTCCCCCCTCCATCAATGTTACTTCTTTCTGCAATATCAACTTCATATTTCTTCTGGTTTATAACAGCAAACTTCACATCTGAGATCACTTATCCCCTTCAGTGGACTTCTTCATTTTTCTTATTTCCGTTTTAATTTATACTAACCTGCTGTCAGCAGTATTTGTAATTAATTTGCTAACTAAGTAATTTCTAGTTAAAACTCACATTTTAAATACCAGCATATATAGAAGAACCATATAATTTCATAAACCCCAGAAAGTTCCTAAACCTGGTTTAGAAAAATCATTTAAAAAGTTCAATGAAGTTTAAGCACATTCAATATTTTATGAAGCCTCAGGCGGGCTGTGTTATGATGCAGAAAGCAGTGATAAAACCTGAAATATATACCTGCTTTCTTACTTTTAGCTACTTTGGAGAACACTGTCTATTAATTCTAGTTTCTTATTTTTTAAGATTTCACCTTTTTGGGCTGCCTAACTTGATGCCCACAAGATATATTGGATTAGCTGTCATAATAAACTCAGAAAATATACATAAATTCCAAACTTATTGTGAGATTTTAGAAATTAAAATGCTCTTTTATTTATTAATTATTTCTTTCACATTCTGTTCTTTTAATCTGGATCTACCAAAATTTTGTCATAAAATATTTATAATTTTCTGTTATCCCGATATGATAATTTGCATCTGGAAGTCTAACTTATATCTCCAAGTTCTTTTTCATCACTAATGGAATAAATCAGCCCAGGCAATAAACATATGCACTTTCATTCCTCATTTTTGTTAAAAGTGACAATAAACTATTTGAAAAAGACATTTGGTTCCTTCTCAATCTGATTTACCTGCCATGCAATTAGATCCTTTAGCTTTTCAATTTTTTCATGGTCTTCTGGGTGTTCATATATGTATTTCTCATTAAAGAAAGCCTAATGGGAAAAAGCCAGCAGTTATTTAGTACAATAGCATTTATACAATAATAATAATAATAATAATAATAATAATAATAATAATAATAATAATAATAATAATAATAATAATAATAATAATAATAGTTAACAACAACAACATATTTAACATTACCAATGGTTCTGAGGAAAATCTTTCTGAGAAGAAGGAAAGTAGACACCTAGTAGATGCCTATTTCACTTGTGCTCTTCTCCCCACATCCTGAAGGACCATTGCCACCAATTGATTCATGGGGGACATGGAAGGAAGGCTAATGATGGCTATATCGGAGCTTATTTTATCTCAGCTGTCCCTTCCTCCAATAAGGTCATTGTTAACAATGCCTTTTGGGGAACAATATTTCTGTTTTATTAGTGACATGTTGAAATAAATAAATATTGGTATAACAGTAAAGGTAAGAGTTTCCCTGTCAGTCATGTTTGACTCTAGGGCATGGTGCTTATCAGCCAGCATTGTCTGAAGACAATTTTCATGGTCATGGGCCAGCACGGCTATACACCAAAGTACATAGACGGCTGTTTCCTTACATGGAAATGGTACCTATTAATCTACTTGCATTTGCATGTTTTCGAACTGGTAGATGGACAAGAGCTGGAGCAAGTAACGGGAGTTCACCCCATTATGCGGAGTTCAAATCTCAAACCCAGACTGTCAACTCTCCAGCTGACAAGCTCAGTGTCTTTAACTGCTGAGTCATCATGCCCCCAGTATAATTTTTATACCAAGTATAATTTTATATTTGGTATAAAAGTACCAAATAATAACAAACAAATCAAATTGTTATTTGCATCAGCAAATAAGCTTAACAATTTATGAAAGAAAAATAAGACCTATCTCAAATTTGAGGATTCAAAAGTATTAATTGGCATATATAAAATAATTATAAGACACTTAAAGCATTCATGACCATGAGAAATGAAGCAGGAGATGAGGAATATAGCACTCTCCCACTTGTGTTTCCCAACAAATGATAAACAGAAGCAAGTAATATCTGTCATCATGACTAATAGATGCTGATGGCCTATTACTTCATAAATGACTCTGCCTTTTAATAAAAAGTTAGAAGCATTTCTAAAATGATTTTTGAAAAAACCAAACTTTTTTGGGTGGGAAAATAGATTCCAATTGAAAATACAATCCTGTAATTTTAATGTTTCAAAAGGAGGTAAATATCTGAACAGGCACAGTACTGAATATAACAATCATTAAAGATTCTCATCATTATCATAGAGAATGAAGACTGGAATCATGCATTGTGAAATGTGACCTTTCTTTCATTTAAAACAGTTAATGATGGAGACATTTTTATGAGTGCAAATAAATATATAAATGAGGGTAAAGGTTCATTCTCCGAGCCTGTGGGTTGGTTTCTGAATGTTTCGTTACCAGGCTAGGTAACCTCTTCAGCAGAATTTAGGGGATGTCAGTATTCTGTTTATAAGGGTTTCAGGTGGCGGTGTGTCAAGTGAGGTCTGTGGTGGGCCAGGTGTGAGTCATCAGTGAGTCTTGTGATGGGGAGGTTACCTCAGGTCAGGGTCATTGGGAAGTAAACTGTTGCATGGGTTGGTTGAGGGTCGGTGCTGTCTCTGAATAAATCATTCAGAAACCAACCCACAAACTCGGAAAACGAACCTTCACCCTCATCCAACACCCGAGCTACAGATGTTTTTCACTACTGTAAATACATAAATGACAACCATCTTTTAAAAGCCCCTTAAAGTGCTTTATGTTGCATTTATACAACTTTGCTTCATCTTGGATTATATTTACTGCTAGAACGGTGCCAAATGCTATGATTCTAAGCCACTAAATGATGTAATGTGCATGTTAGAAAGTCACAGAATTATATCTGCACAGATTACTATAGGTCATTTAAGGAAGCCTAATTAAATAAAATATTTTGTATCTGGTAAAAATAACATAATTTTGTCTACTTAGCAATAATGAATCATCATTGCTGCCAAATCTGGGATCAGTTTAAGTCTTTTCAGTATTAATACAATATTGTAATCAGGGAATATAAGCCAGCTCTCAGTCTAGCAAGCTGATTCGTTCCCTGCCCCCATTTCAGGTAACAAAGACCTGCATATGGTGGTTGGATCCAACAGCCACTAAAGTTCCTTTGCCTCCCTTCAGGACAAACACACTGGGCCAGAAAAGATGGTTTTATTGGCTTACCCTATCAGCCATTCACAGCATTCTACTCTTGAATCTAGCAGCACATAGTCACTGTAATAATGCAGAATCTATATCTAATTTCTTCAGTCTTGCTTAATATAATGAAGCCCTAAACCAAAAGTGTACTGACTGTTATTTCTTCACAGAATTGTATACTATCACATAGATGCATGGATTTTGAGATTTCCACAACATAGGCGGGCAATCTAAATCACAACTACAAACTGACAATTGCTAACCTGCAAACTGAATCACAATTTGGGGTTAAATTGCTGCTCTCCTGGCCCACTATTGACTGTTAGTAGATTCATATAAACTGTCTGGGCTAAAAGCCATTGTAAAAATGTGGCTAAAGGGCTCTCCTCAAAGCCTTACCCTGGCACCAACTTATCCAGTGGTAGATTAAATATGGCTTTCAAATCAGATTTAATTCTTCAGTTTGTCTAATAATTCAGAGGAGAAAGAAACAAGATAGCACAAATTCTTCCTTGATTTTCTTTTCTGTGTACTGATCCTCATTACTTATCAAACAAGAAATGTTTCACCTTAATTTTCCAATTTCAGTGACTCTTTGTCTTGCCTGAACTGCTACAAAACATTTTAAAAGTACTTACATTAGTAAATGATTACCCATTTTAATATGAAATACATTCTACTAGTAATGGCTACTAATCAATTTATTAGTAACTTATTCAATAAGTAGCTACATTGTCATTGCCATTAAGCTCTATAATATAGAGTCTATATTTTTCATTTCTACAGCATCACTACTGAGAGAACAAAAATCAACCAAACCTTTTCGTAATTGGTGAAGCCTCCCATGACAGCAGGGTCCACAATGCCATTTAGCAGCATCGACAGAGGGTTAATAGGTAAATTTGAATCATTCAAATGTTGCTGAACCATATTGTTAATTTTATCGTTTGCTAACTGCATAGTTTCAATTGCATTTTCAAGTGGACTGATTTCAATCTGAGAAAACAAATTTTTAACAAATAAATGATTACAAGAGCTGAAATAGTTTGAATTCAAATATTACCTGAAAACAATAAATTTGTTCCAGAAATTTTTTTAATGTAGTTTTAAAACACAATATTGAATAATGATGCTCATGCTCAAAAATTTGGACAGATAAATGCAACAACTTGATAATAAGCACAAATGCTTTTGTTTAGATCAACCGTCACTCATACACAGTAAAACAGAAACTGAACAAATCGAAAGCTACATGGTAGCTCTTTGTACACCCAATGGACAAACTGCTGTCACCTTTTACTATCATGCATTATGTCACAGGGTAGACTGTTTTTGAAATTAAAAAGCTGGAAGATGAAGACGATGGAGAGATAAAAAAAATTCTTAATCTCTAGCATGTATTTCATGTTACAAAGATTTTTCATTAAATACACAAAATAGACTGTTGCAATATTTTGAAAGATGCACCACGCAGAGGAGCACAAAGAAAGTACTTCTGTTTGAACCAGTAATGCAGCTGTTTCCATTTCCTATCAAACACGGTTGCTTCAAAGGCTGTTCCTGACTATGCATGCAGTGACAGTCAGGATTATTTGAATAATTTAAAGAGAGATCTCTTTTTCTTCTCCAATCCAACAGAGACACACCCTTTTGAATAATAATGACACACATTTGAGGTATGTCAAAATGCAATTTTATATCTGATTGCTGTAATTTTCATAAACTTTGTAGAAAAACAGCAGTAGCTTAAGATATTTCTGAAAGGCGCATAATCAAGTCTTTGTAACTGTCACTTATATACATACATTGATTATGTTCAACCTGTGTTAATTAACTGTCTTAATTAATTAAGTTTCGAAAATATTTAAATTTTAACTTCATTATTAATGCTTCCAGCAAGCTGTGTGCTTTTAATTCTTTTAGCATTCTTACCAATTTTCTACACGCTACAATTTAAAGGCATATTTTTTCCTAAAATCAACTTTCACAGTGATACCTCAGAACTGAGAAGACAAGGGCCTTCAGAATATGTATGTTTGTCATCAATGTATTATTTGTGCAGTTTTATATATACTGCTCACAAAAATAAAGGGAACGCAAACCCCTTCAGTTCCATGGTAAAATGTGCCCTTCATTTTTTTGAGCAGTATATATACCTGTCATAGTCTTTCTCACAGATGTCTCTTTATTTCATGACTATAGTCGCCATTCCTATGAATTTTTGACCATAGGAAGATAAAGTGGCATTGGGCTGGCATTGACACAATCCTAGTTTTGTTCAGTGTTAATTAGTATAGCGGCTGATGAAGAAGTTTCTCTTCTTTCACCTTCAATAAGAGGTTCATTATGTTCTCCTTGCTTGTAGCCATCAAAAAAGTATCATCAGTAGGTTTTTCAGGTTGTTGTTATTTCCCAGTTTCTATTTCTTCTAATCCAGGATTTCTCCTGCATATAACTAGATAAGGAAACAGTGTATTGTCTTGGTACACTAATTTCTCAGATAACAACCATTTGATTGCTTCATCTTGCATTCTGTTGCTTCGTGTTCATTGTAGAACTTTTCAGTAGGCAGATAAGGTGGCCTGGTACACCCATCTTTTTAAGGGCTATGGGCAATTTATTGTATCTACAGTATAAAGAAGCCTTAGAATAATCAATAAAAAAATGTATTTGGAGAACTGTAGCCTTCTCCATTATCCAGAAGTGATTACCAATGTGAGCTGCCTCTTTTGAATCCAACTTGTACATCTGATAGTGCTTGTTCCACGGATTGTTGAAGCATGGAATGCAAAACCTTGACCATTTTCTCATTATCAGGTATCTGCAATTGTTTGGTAGCTTCAACAATTTTTAACACTGAAGTTTTTCTGATGCTGGAATTTAAATTGATTTTTTCCACTTCCTTAATCTTGCTGTATTTGCCACATCTGTTTACTAACTGCATATTAGTAATTATTGTGCAAAGCTTTAAACAGTTCTGTTGCTATTTCATTTCTGCAGTTTTATTGTTAGCAATATTTTTTAATCCTTCATAGGTGTCATCAATTTATAGATTGTGAGAATAGTTCTTATGTTTATTTATACCATTTTTTATAGTTTTGTCTAGGAAATGTTTATCTTTTTTATTCTTGATTGTGCCCATCTTTGCACAAAAGATTGCCTTGAAATCTGTAATTGTTATCAATTCCTTGCTTTGTCTTTAGATATAACTCCTTGGGTTTTCTAAAACTCTCTATATGGTGAGGGCAAAAATTTTCTCTGTCTCTTTTACTATCTGCCTTTCTTTAACTATTTTCAACATACCAGCAGAGGGACAATTTGGCTTATTTTGCATTTTGCAATATTTTTGTTTCCTGTTTAATGATATAATACATTTCTAGAGTTCTTCGGAGATTTTATCAAACCTAATTCATTAAATCAAATTTTTAAACATTCAGTGCATTATCCCACAGAATATTGCTGAGGTTATATTTTGTCTGATTACATTATCCATTTTATTTAGCTTAATTTTGTAAGAAGGAATGTCTGATCTGAATCACAATCAGCACCAGGACTTCTGCTGACTATTTTTTTCATCTTCGTTGATACAGCACCAAAAAAAGATAGGACACTAGTTATAGGTCTCTGAAAACTTTAGTATCAAATTTTCATTTTATTTCTAGATGGATCAACAGGACTTCTCCCTTGAGCATTTGTCAAGATATGGCTATCTACTTTAAAGTAAATCAGGCAAAGTAGAACAAATCTAGATGAAAACAATGAAGAGACTAGAAACTAAGTCTTGCAAAGAGACATTGAAGGAAGTTTGAGAAGAGAAGAATGAGAGGAAATATAACTTCCTTCTAAAAGCATCATATAGAAGATGGATAAGATCTACTCTCTTATTATTTCACAACTCCAGGACATGATATGATGGTTTTAAGCTATATAAAGCCAGATTTCATTTAAATGTTAGAAAAATCTCCTAAAAATGAGAGCAGTATGACACTGAAACCAATTACCCAGAGTGATAGTGAGATCCCCTTCACTGCATGCACAAAGGAAGCTAATCGGCTATCATTTGGCATGCCTTTAATTTGGATTTTTGTGCAGAGCAGGGAGTTGCATCCAATTGCCTAACTAACAATTTCAAACTCTGCTGCTATAGTTCTAATGTTAGGCTATCTAACCTGTTCTGATATAGTTTAGGCAACATAAGATTACACAGATATATAGATTAACATTTTCAATTTTTAATATTTTCTTTTTCTTTTTTTGGAAATGTACAATATTTCATCTATAATCTTAGAGATTCTGAATTTTTTCCACTGTAACTATCCTTGTCTACTTTTTTTATTTTAGAACCTATCAACATAGCTATGATCATACTGCTATTTCATACATTCAGTGAATATATGAATCCTCCAATCTCAGTGCCCTTATGATCTCTCCTGTCTTCTTTTCCCATTGTAAATGTATGTGGATGTTTCACTCCAGTTAT